GCCGCGAGGGCGCGCTGCGCGGCGCGGGTTCTGGCTGCGTCCCGAGCAGAGCAGGAAGCAGAGGAGCAAGGGCGGGGAGGTGAGCACATCCCTGGCAGCCAGTGTGCCAACGCAGGCTCTAGTGCTACCTCGTTGGCAGAGGCAGTGGTTAATTCCCTTAAGCGATTCCCCACCTGGCCTCCTGGTGCCTTTCCCCGGGGCTGCCCGGAGGCCAGAGCCGGGCAGCTGTTGCACCGAGAGGGGGCAGCTGCGGAGTTCTGTAACCATAGCAACCGCATCAGCACCACCGCGGCAGCAGCGGCGAGGGCAGCATCCTCTCGCTCCGCCTCCAAGCAGCCGCGCCGTGGGGACCTGAGACTTGGCTCGCAGGTGCTGCGCGACCTCCTCCTTGGTCCGCCCACCGCTGCTGCAAAGTGTTGGCTACTGGAGGAGAAAGGAGCAGTGTGAGGGACCCAGAGCCGGAGCTGGGCCCTGGGAGGTGAGAAAGGAGAGACCTGCAGTGGGAGACAGGTAGGTGGGAGCGCTCGGGGTCGGCAGCTGCAAAACTCCTAGGTGGCAGTGACGTTTCTGGAAGCGCGGTTGCTAGTTGGATGGCTTTCTATTACTGAACAGGGATTCTGCCGCGAAATCTGGTTCTTCTCTCCCTTTGCTCATCTCTCTGTCCTCCAGTACTGTCTACATAGGGACAATTCTTGAGAGGGCAAGTAGCATCAATGTGGTGGCGGGGAGATGCTGGGTTAACGAAGTGGTCCCTACACAAGCCTCACACGGAGCCCGCGGGGACACCTACAGAGCCTGTCAGTTCAGATTATCTGAGCCAGTAAACCCAGGGCAGCCTCCAGAGAAGGCGGTGCTGGGGCAGAGGGGGCAGGGGTAGCCTTTCTCTCTGGTCCAGGCTGACCCTTCCAGGGCTGTGCTTAGGGCACAGGTTGGGGGGGGGGCTGCAGCTCAGCTATTACATGGAAAGGGACCTGAGTAAACACTGGCTCTTCATCTGTAAGGCCAGCTTCAATCCCAGTAAGAAAGAGAATATGTAGACAAGTGAAATAGTATTTGCTACTACCTTGGGCCCTGGGGGTGACCCTAGAGCTTATTGTGCTGTTGGCATTGGCTGTTGGGGATGGGAACTGGAATCCAACTGTAAGGTAACAGTCAAGGCTTCTGTCTTCTTTCCTTCACTTCCTTTCTAGCTTCGTTCCCATTGCACGGAACAGTGACACCCTTTGCTTCTGGCTATTGGCAAAGTATCCCAGTTTCAGGCAGCCACAGAATCCCATTTCAGTTCTCCAAGTGAACTGGTGTGGGGAGGGGGCATTGTTTTCCATCAGGCCCTGATGCTTTTGATGAGAAGTGGTATTTCCCAGCCCAGGTCAGTGAGCTGACCACACTGCATCCTCTGGTCTGTCAGAGGGCCAGAGGTTGGGTGTGATTGTCAACCAGCTCAGCTGGAAGCAGAGCTCCAGAAGAGAAGGGAAATACAGACAGGTGAGTAATAAGGGGCTGAAAGCTCTTGCATATAGGTAAGTAGGTCTCTGGGCAATTTCCAGAACAGGCAGCCCTTGACTTTGAAAGGCTTCTCCCTTTCTATCCTGGCTCCAGGGGACTGCAGTGAGTCCCAGTTAAAAGGCTATGTTCTTTAATTGGGTTTTTAATTTATGATGCAGTTGTGTTACCCGGAGGGAAGTGATTTGGCCAGCATTTCATCTGGGGATTTGTGTCATAATGAGAATAATATTACCATAATCTAGGCTAGTGGTGAGGTGTGCGGAAAAGGGGTCAAGACTCTGGAGTTAGAGACATGGATTTGAACTCCAGTTTCACCACACAGCTGCTATGTGACCTTGAATTGGCTCACCTTGCTGAGGTTCCAGCATCCTTGCTCTCAACTGTAGAGTGGGACATTAACAATTCTCTGAGTTTATTAGGCTCTTGCAGTGACCAGATGGCATAGTGGAGAGGATGGAGGTGATTGGCTTTTTAAAAAACAAACAAACAATGTTTCATGCTAATAAAAGGAATTATTGTTATGTGCTAAAGAAACTCCATTTCTTGGAACAGCAAATCATTAAACAGCCATCACCTGTGAAAAGAGAGTAGAAATTTTAAAGACACACAGCTGAAACACAGTAGTTCAGTGATGAGGGCAGTGTGAAGTGGTCTTTATCAGGGGAAAATGATGCATGTTATTCTCTTTGCTTATGAGAGCTGAAGGTCAAGAGCTTTGCCTTTGAATGCAGTGTCTGGTTGGAGACAGTGACTTCTGCTCATTGCAGGGTGCAACCAAGCATTTGGTAGGAGAAACAGAGATCCACACACAGTGGGTATTCATGTTGTGCTGGTTAGATGAGTACACTGAACACACTGTGGGCTCCTTGAGGGCTGGCTTACCTTTATCCATCTCTGTGTTGTCATTCCACGTTTACCAAATGTTTACTCAGATTGATGAAAATGACTGAAGACTTACAGCTTGAGTTCCTTGCTGAGGGAATTGGAATTTCTGGAAGGATCTGTTATTCTCTGGTCTTTTATATCCCTAATTTTACTCACCATGGCCTCTCTGCAAAAGTGGAACATTTCTCACTTTCTCCTTCCCTTCATGACCCAGCTCTTCCCAGGTTCTCTCTCTCTCTCTCTCTCTCTCTCTCTCTCTCTCTCTCTCTCTCTCTCTCCCTCTGTAGCTCACACAATACCTTGGAGTCTGTTTTGTGACGATCTGTACTGTATCACTGCACACACACCAAGCCCCTCTCTAGACACAGTACTTCCTAAGGTCAGGGACCTCTACTTATTCCATCGTGGCTGTGGCCCAGTGGCAGCTGGTGTAGTCCTGCTACCATGGATGATGCTGAATGAGCAAGTAGGCCCTACCTGCAACATGGCCACCTGAGCAGAGAGCTCATTATGAAGCCCATCCCTGAGTCCTTCTTCAGTTTCAGGGAGTCCAGCAAATCTGAGAGGTATTTGTCTGGTTGCTGTGCATTGTTTTGGGTCAGTCCACTGAAGCAGAGTGAAGGGCAGTAGCGACTCACACTTTGCCTCAAATCGCTCTTTCTTTCTTCAAATGGGCAGCTCAGCATGACTGTAATCTGGTGTTGAACAGGTTCCATACAACATTTGTTGAACACCTCTGATGGGGTGTTTTATTTAATTAATCATATTAGTACATAGTTCAGTACATGATGTTTATGTTCAACCTAGGGGGTAGGTACATATACTTAATGTAACTTGATTCTTTTACTCCCTTTTCCCCCCTTACCCACTTTCCTCTCTCCCTCCATCTCTAGAGGCTACTTTCTCATTTTAATTATTATTGTTATTAGTTTTCTTACTATATGTTTGTAAAATGTCATGATTACATTCATTGTGGGTAGTTGTTATATGTACATGACACATATTACGTCTTTTTAAGTCCCCTTTCCTTCCCCCTCTCCTCACCCATGATCCTGTGGTTCCCTTTCCATTTACAAAAGATATATCTCCTTGTTTCTTTCTGTAAGTCTTTTTTTTTCTCGCTCTTTATTTGTACTTTGAATTACTTAAATGCAGGAAATCATATGGTACTTAAATTTTTGTGTTTGATTTATTTCACTTATCATTGTTTTCAATGTGTTTCTGTTTTCCTACAGAATGACCTGAATGTATCCTTCTTTGTCTCTGAGTAGTATTCCATTTGTATGGATACCACATTTTCTTTATCTATTCATCTCTTGCTGGACATATGGGCTTCTTCCCAGCTTTGGTTATTATGAGTCATGATGCAATTGGCATTGGTATGCATGTATAACTGGATTATGATATCTTCAGGTCTTTGGGGGAGCTACCTATAAGGTGAATAGCTGGGTCAAATGGAATTTTGATTTTTAGTTTATTGAGAAATTTTCATACAGATTTTATAATGGTTTTGCTAATTTGCATTTCCACCAACAATGCAGAGGTCCTGTTTTCACCATAGCCACATCAGCATTGGCATTATTTGATGTCTTCTTGATTGGCATTCCTTCTGATACATGATAAAATGCTAACATTGTTGTAATTTGCAGTGGTTAGATTATGTTTGGAGATATGTTTAACTTTTTATGTTTAATGGCATTTTATACTTCTTTTATTGAGACGTATCAATTCATTTCAATTGTTCATTTTTATTGAGGCTTTATTTTGGAGGGTCTAATTTTTCTCGATGTATTTATATAATCTATATATTAGACCTGTCTGTCTCAGAAATAGGTAGATTGTCTCTTCACTCTGCTGATTGCTTCCTTATTATTTCCTTTGCTGAGATTTTTTTAGACTTAAAATGTATTTCTCTTTCTTGAATTTCTTTCTTTGGTTCAGCTCACATTTAATGAAAAAACACATAATTTGGCTTAAGAAGGCCTAAATTCAGATCCAGATACCAACAAGACCTGGAACTGGGGCAGCGGATCTCCTTGTGCCTCAGTATCCACATTTGTAAAATATGGTTGGTTTTACCCATATGAAAAAATGCTGAGTGCTGGGAGTGAATTAATAGCAGTGTAGTAAAAGCTTTTCATGAACTGTACAATATTCTACCCAAGCAAATGCTTTTTTTTTAACTTCACTTTTGTTCTAGAGAATGAGCAAAATTTTTTCTGCCTAATTACACAGCATGTGACAAGCTGGGCTTCCACTCTGACTCCTCCACTCATTAGTCCTGTTTCACCTTCAGCAAATCATCTTATTTCCTCAGCCACTTGCCTTATTTGCATAGTACTATAATGACAGTGACCTTTCCAGATAGTTCTGGGGACATACACATAAGAATAGTGGCATGGAATTTCTATATGATAGATATAGTTGGCAACAGTAGAAGGTTCTAGCATTTTTTAAATATTCAAAGCACATTTCTTCCCCATATTTTACCTACAGGGCGGGGAGAGAGGGGGAGAGGCAGAGAGACAGAAACAGAGACAGAGACAGAGACAGAGAAAGAGACAGAAAATGCAAAAGATAGGTAGGAGTAGGTTGTTTACTTTTGGTTGGTGTGAAAAATTTTGTGGGGAGCACAATAAGCTAAAGGTTTAAATTTGGGAACTGAGTCTATAGTTGACACTGGATACTGGTTATTTATCTCCATTCTGAATTTCAGTTTATTCATCTATCAATGGCCTGTATGATTTCAGTGGCCCTGCCTAGCTCTCCTTACCTCACAGAAGTTACATTGAGGGTACTCTATTCATCCTTTACCTCAAGGCTCATAGCTAGTCTATCTGCTACAGTTTACTCACTATATACCCTACTCACTATATACCCATACCTCCATCACCAAATTTCTGTTCTCTTTGAATTTTTTCAGACAGTAAGGCCAGTGTGCCCAAGATGATCCTGGCACTTAGGGAATTGCTGAATGCTCCATTCCATCCCTCCTGTCCCCAGACAAGATGTTCTCTACTTTGCCCAGCTTGGCAGTTCTCTTTTATTCAGCATACAATAAACTGTATGTATGAAGCCAGTTTTACCTGAGAAAGCTGGTGGAAATTCAGGACACTACT